AGGATAATACCCTCTGTATGAAACGACGTTGTATTTTCTCGTTTTTTATTTCGCTAGTACACTAAAAAAAAAGAGATGATTCGCTGAACTGCCTGTAGCACTGGTGAGTGTTTAAAACACACTATGTTCTTTTTTCTTGTACTTTTGTAAATTCCATTATTACTGTTATGTGCAATTTAGGCTTCAACAATGTCTTTCGTGAGATTTCCATAGTACCTTAACATATAATTCTTTGGAGGTCTGATAATGCGGCCGTCTGAACAACAAAGAGCTATGGTGTCGCGTACCGTTCACTTTGGCAATTTGTTTATTTCCATATTTGCGCTTATAGGCTCATTTTTAGCAACCTTATACTTCTCTGGTCTAGAGTATTCACCCGACCATGCAGAAAATTACACACAGTTGAGGTTGTTTTTTGAAGCACCTCCTGGAGTTCGGTATGCTAAAAATGGCACCCCTTATCAGTGCATTCAGTTCGAGAAAATTCGATACATTTCACCCTTTCCTACCACGGTGCACCGTAATGTGCCTATCGCTGCGGATCGCTACAGCTTTACTGAGGCAGAGCGCCACATAAATCGATTCTTCGATCCGATCGCACATGAGCAAAAGGGGCTCACCTTAAGCGACTTCTTTAAAGAGTTTCTCTTCCGCCGTTTTGTCACCACGAAAGGAAACATTTCGGAAAGGGGCTCTTCAGTGGAGAGGGATGTATCAAGGTGTAAGACGAATGCATTGAATGTGCTTCATCTGTGTAGTGCATCTACTTGCGTGAACGCTTTTATAAGCGTCGCATTTGTATCTCAAGTTAAGCCTGCCGCTTCGTCTCCTGTCTCGCTCTTTACAATTGTATACGGAGATATTTCGATTGCTCGTGCGGTCTCGATTGAGCTTCACGTTAATGGCGTTTGGGTCCTGCCACACTCACCACGTACGGCACACACGTCCTCCAAAGCAGACGTTGAATCGACGCATATTTGTCAGCCCTTGTATGGCTCAAATTTCACCTTAAGAACGGTGAAGGGTGAGGTTCCGGTATCCGCTGTCCAAGTAAATGTATCCGAGTTTGGATGCGAGTATTATGTGCATGAAAAGGGAGGGCTACTAGAACCCGAGACGTCCACGCCACATTGCCGAGCCTCGGAGAATAAAGCACAAAGCCTGGAAAGCACGCGTTACAGACACGAACAAGTCCATGCCCACTGGCCCTTCGTGGAAGTGCACCCCTTCTCTTCAGCACAATTTGTAGGGAATGGAAATTACACGCTTCACAACTTTACCATGAATGTGGTTTACATTGATGTGGCCCCCACTGATGCAGTAGGTGTTGTGGCGTACCTACAAGGTGTTCTGAGGAACATCAAAGATGATGCACTTTTGCCCCTTCATTTGGTGGTAACTTTGCACGCATCCAAATGGGGGCTGGACGTCTTGTATGCAATTCAACTACTCTGCAGGCATCGCAGCTATGATGTACTACCGCTTCAGGGTGAGTGTGTAGCCGCGGCCAGTTCATCTTCCTCTGGATGGATAGGGCCAAATACCTCGTGGTCGACGGTCTTCGCCAGCATTCATCGTCCGTTCTGTGGCTATGACAGTTCGACAGGGGGGCGAAATTGTCAGGCAGGGGCTCCTGTATGTGTGATCTTGCTCACTCGTGACCGCTCTGCCGTGAGTCATTATCTCCGCACGGCAGCTTCGAGACCTCATAACATGGAGGAAGCAATGAAGCGTTTTTTTGAGAACTTAACCCTTTCAGACATCAATTCCTCTCGGCAAAGACGTTCTGATCAGGATGTCTTGTCAAGCAAGTTTCGGGGTAATGGTAGATTGATAGGCACATCGTTGCTAAGAATCTCAGGGGCTTGGATATACTGGGCGATTTCTATGTTAATATCACACTTCCTCTATGTGGTAGCTTTACTGCTCATTTTTGTATTGCTTTGGAACATGTCAAAAACATGGCGGCATCGGAGGCGATAAGCTTGAACTTTTTCCCTCTTTAATGGCTCTATGGGAAACTGAACTTCCAATCGTTATATTGCGATATCTTGCATGAATTTTCCTAGTATACTGGTTACATTACTTTTTCTACTCGCGGTGGCTGAGAGCTGCGTCTGGGCTATTTGCTAACTTAAAAGTAGAAAAATGTTTGCAGCATACCTGATGCATTGGCTTCTTAGGTTATTAAATAATTACTTTTGTGCGCAGATAGAGTCTTTGTATGATATTACTTTATTATTCATTTTCACTTTGCGACTATTCCTTGTCTCTTTTTTTATTATTTTTACATCCTATAGGTCCCTTGTT